ATGTCCCTGTAACATACCGTGATTGGCAAGAACAAGGCCTTGTGGGAAAATGGAGGTTAGGGGAACTGCGGAAATGTTGATACCCATCAAACCCTAACACAGATGTATCATATCACTAAATAAACAACAATATTAGGCACAAAGTATAAGAAGTTCCACAAAGAGACGCACTACCACAGTATTATGGTTGATAACGAACTGGTTTAGAAAGCCGTTAGAGTCCGGCTCCCATATATCGGGAAGTCACCTATTTGTTTCCATAAGTGCACAAATTGAAACCCACGGAAACAATAAATCAAACACCGCGGCAAACAAACATGGTTACAAATGGAGATCCGTGGATACTTGAAATCCGTATTTGGGGACACTGCAATTGGCGAACGATTGTTGTAACGTGTTTCTCTCCAAAATTCCAGCACGGAAAGGATCAATTCGCTAATCTGCTGAGGAGTTATAAGCGGAAACAGGACACACTAGAGGTCTCTCTTTACTCTAGCACGTAGGACAGCCATACCGACTGACACAGCGCTTGAAACTCTGCGGCATATCAAACCAATATAAAGCGGGCACAGAAACCACCCACCACCACCACATCTTTCTCTCAAAAATCACAATTTATACTTCATTAAAGTTCCAAAGGAGATCACATTGAGCATTTATCAGATACACGAACCTAGTTTAGAACTAAAGCGGGATAAGTGCCGGAACAGAAACTGTGAAAAGCAAACAATTTCCACGCGCGTTTCTCTTCCAATTCTGCATACGACAGTGTTCTCTATCGTCTATGACTGCAGAGCCATCTACACTACAAAAAGCACACTTCGTACTCTGAAAGTAACCTATGGCACAGACCGTGTACGTAATCAATCCTCTGATACATTTCCTGTTCAGAGTTTACTGAGACAAGGAGATGCTTTATCTTCATTCTCTTTCAACTTTGTTTCAGATTGGCCGCGCCATAGCTCAGGCGCTTAGTCCCTGGCTTCCCATCGCGGTGGCCAGTGTTCGAGCCCGGCTCAGGTCATATGGGATTTGTGGTGAATAAAGTGGCACTTGGGCAGGTTTTCTCCGAGTATTTCGGTATCCCTTGTCAATTCTCATTCCACCGACTGCTCCACACTTGTGATCGTCTATCATCTGGGGCTGGTACAATAGGACAATAGTGGCCGGTGTACCAAGAGGACTCAGTCTCGCCCCAATAAGAATATCAGAAAATAGTTGTTTCAGAATACGTCTTTAGGAAGGTTCAAGAAACTAGGGCTGATTGAATCTGAACTGGACACACGGGCTTCTGGTGCAACCTCATGATGTCAACATCATTGCTAGACATTTTCAAGTACACAGTGTTCTAAATGTTAATTTATAATTACACTTATTAATTCTTCGTGATTCGCCTGTTTCAAAAGTTTCTTATTTTTAGTTATTATACGTAATAGTACAGTACGTCATAACAGTGCTTTACGTGGATACGAATTTAATCCAATTATATGAATTTTTCGCCGATCATAGTGGCCGCGAGGTCTGTCTTCGCTCGCTCGAACGCTGGGATCTTGGGCTCGAATCCCACTCAAAGCATGGGTGTCTATATGGTGTGTGTTTACTCTGTGTTTCTATTGTTCTGTGTGAAGGCAGCGGCCTTGCGACGTGCTAATCCCGCCCGTCCAAAGAGTCCTACCGACTGTGTATAAGATCAAGAAACTGAAAAGAGGCTAAGGCTCAACAAAGGGCTGTAGAGNGGCTGTAGAGCGATAATAATATGAAATTGTCATTAACAGAAACACCTTTGCCACTAATTATTTAGGATAATCAGAGTTCTACTGTACTTTGAAGTAAACCGTTTTGCACTGCATTTCGTTCCTCCATTTCAAGAGGGATACAATTTAGGTTAACCTCTCAACACTGAGGTTAATTTTAATTTTTAATTCGCTTAGTGGAGGGTGGAGTCGAACTGGGTCCACTCGGCTCGGCGGCCACTGATTGGCCCCGGGTGATTATGATGATGGAGAATTTGATGGAATGAAGATTGGAAGGGGAAACCGAAGTCCCCGGAGAAAACCCGCCCCAGCACCACTTTGTCCATCACAAATCCCACTTGACCAGACCCGGGATCGAACCCAGCCAGCGACTAACCGCTTGAGCTATGGCGCGGCCTTTCACACTGAGGTTCCTCGTATCCTACTGACCTACAGTGAATAATGTAGCATAATTCAAATTATTACAGGGCGATATAGCTGGCCAGCAAAGGGACTGGTTACAGGTCACACGGGCGGCGTTCAATTCATTTCATGGAACAGGGATTTGTTTTTCATCATCACTGTGTCCAGATTTGCTCTGGGACCTACCAAGCCTCTTATCCAATTTGTAGGTCCGGCGGGGAATCATTCAGTAGAATTAGTTTCGGACCGATGGAAGCCTGAGGCCGTACTCAACGACCTGCATTACACGACGGAAGTCAGATTATGCGCGCCTGGAAGCCACAACAACGACCATTTTGTCCACTACATGCAACATGTGTCACTATTGCATTAGCCCTGCAATGCTGCATAACAAAGTGGATAGAAGATCCCGAACCAGATCGTTAATATTGCTACCATAATTCACTTTGCTCCCCACCACAACGGACCTCTTTAGACGCCGCAAACCACAATAAAACTAATAATAATTGAAATTTCAACAGGAAATATCTCTCTCCTCAGTTACTACCCCTTTCCACATACACGGAAGATAAATCTGAAATTCGATATCTGTATTCCCCAATGCATAGGCACAGTGCTCAACACAAATAAGTAAACTATGCTGACGAAGAACAGGGGCCACAGAAATCTGGCAGCATCTCCGAGCAATGAGAATAGATGAATCAGCAATGGTCCAGGCTGACCATGATTCTGTTTTCTGTGACTCACAGACACTCTCCTACTTGTAATCGTCACTCTGCTGTCTCTCGTCTGATACAATGTAACTTAAGCAGCTAAAACAACACCGTTAAATAAACCAAGACTTTACCATCATCATCTGGTAAAACAGCCCTTTTCGAGCCATAGCCTTCCTGAGAAGATACTGCCACATTTGGGCCCGGTTTTCACTTCTTCGGATTTCGCAATAATTCTTTTACAAAGCAAGGTCGTGGGCATTGTGTCCAACCCCCCAACCTGGAGAACCAGGTCTCTGTATTTATGTTCCCCCAGGCACCGAGCAAATAAAATGGAAATGCTTGCGACCTGTATTCGGAGGGCCACGATTCGATTCTCAAGGGGGGATATTGGTTTAGATTTCTTATATATTCCCTTAGCCTCTCCAGATCATCGTACGGGATATTACATTTAAATATATCCGGATCGCTTCCTTCCATATCCTCAGCATTTACACGTATTAACCATCTTTCCATTTCATTTGAGGCTCCATCCTGAAATACGCGAATCCAGTTGCATCCACCACGTATTCGTATTTTGATACTGTTCTCCGAATCTACGCCTAATCTTCCAAACTGTCTCTTCCGTTCAAATTTTCCAGCCAAAATCTTCTATGCGCCTCTTGTTTCCGCCGTGCGAAGTCCTACACATCTTAGCCCCCTTTGATTTAATCTCCACACAACGATAGTTCAAGAGGGCAAATTATGATGGACCAGGCTGCAGGTAACTTAAATTTGCTAAACTGTGGTAGTCACAGAGGAACTAAAGGCAACGTAAACAAAAAGTATCTTTTTAAATTACTTCACAAATGATGATTCCAAATTTGGGAGCACAAATTTTTCATCACGTCACAATTTTACGCCTTGAATTTCTGGCCTAATTATTGCGTCTCATTCACTTTCCTATTTTTTATTATAATTCTGATGATACACGATATAAGAAAATGTTTCGTTAGTGATTAAATGTAGTCTCATTTAAATAACTTCAAATTACGCAACGAGTGTCATATACCTTCGTATGTCTTACATAAGACTACATAAGACCTGTGCATGATAAATACTAATTAATCTAATTTCTCTGGTCAGATTACCTGATTTTTCAAAGACATCCTGTTTCGAACATGTAATGAAAAATGTTCCCCAAAAGTGTCTCCACCTTGTCGTGGTGGTGGGGCTTGCGTGACTCTGTGACCTAGAGAGCTATGCTGGCGGTAGATTAACTACCGGTAGTCACCCATGTCGGAGAAGTCAAAGAGCAGAGTCCAGACTAAGAGAAAAATCCTGGTCCTCCAGGTTAGGGGTTGGGCATGAGGCTAACAACCTCATTCTGTAAAAAGAATTTTGTTTATAAACTTAACAATCAGCCTCGGGTCATCAGGCTGGGGTCCATTCCTATGACAGCATGCATTGGTTGTGGAGACTGATTGTAGGGGAGGCCAAGGCTCACCCAGGGCTGCAGCGCCGCGTGGTACGTAATGGAAAATGTGTGAAAATTTGTTGTGCTGTGTAATCAGCCCAGGGTATTATCTTCATGGTTGTGTGTGGCCATGGCTTGCTCTCTCCTTATCCCTCATCATAGAGGTTTACCCTAATTACTTCATAATTTCACCTATTTTCTATTCTGAGACATCGGACGCGATTAATATCAAAATATTGAATTAACATTATTCCGTATTAAAGAATAACACAATCTAACATTATCACGGCACCTGCTGTGTGACTCAAGGGCGGCGCAATTCCGAAATGACGATACTGATATGAACGCGTGATGACGTGTATGTAAAGTGAATATAGATATTGCAACATTGCATCTGTGCCTGGCACTAAAAGCCTTACAACTAATTTCTACTCTAATGGAGCGCAATTAGTTTCCAAAGCGCGTTCTTTGCAAAGTTTTATAGCAACATTTTGATTTTATTGCAGGTACTAATTAACCTGTTGGTTTATTCACTCTTATCCATCTTCTGCTGTAGGCAATCTTTATTCTGTACAAAAACCAATTTCACACAGAAAGGATTCACGTTTGGAACAGAGGGCCGATTAAAACAGCAATCCCGCTCGTGCATGTGAGCAGAAGTGGCAGCGTACTTACAGGCACCATTTGTGGCACCGCTGGGGCCGCTTCGGCTCATCTGCTACTAGGCTTCGGACAGGGGGACAGTCCTCGCAGCAACAGCTACTGCACCAGCTGCCTGTAATGTTACACAGATTACTGTATTCTCACTGTACAAATCAGGAAAAGATACGCTGCTAAATATCTCACGATATTTCCTTGTAAATAGTCTGTGTTCTTTAGAGTGTTAGCCAGTAGATCCTAATACAAGCTTTAGAAAAGAAGGCAGGAAATACTGAAATACAATCAAAACTTGTTAGCGCAGCTTGTCAGTTCACAACCCACACTACCACAGTTCATCCACATCTGTATAACCCACGCAGTTGAGAAAGCATTGTTAAACTAACAGTACAAAGAACACATACTGAGAGAGACAGAGAGAGAGGTGCCCCCCCCAAAAAAAGCATCTTTTCGGAGACAAGGATACACGAAACTCTTTTTTTTCTTTTTGTAATTCGCTTAGTGGGGGGTGGTGTCCAACTGGGTCCACTCGGCACGGCGGCCACTGATTGGCCTGTTGTGGCCTGCTCCGGGTGATTTTGATGATGGAGGATTTGTTGGAATGAAGATTGGCAGGGGAAACCGAAGTACTCTGCGAAAACCCGCCCCAGCGTCACTTTGTCCACCACAAATCTCACTTGACCAGACCCGGGCTGGAAGCCGGGCCGCTGCGGTGGGAAGCCAGCGACTAAACGCTTGAGCTATGGCGCGGCCTACATGAAACTTACCGGTCAGGCTGAATGCCGAGGTCTGTTTTCGTTCATAAAACCAGTACTTCTGCTCGGCCTATTACGAGGTCTGACAATAAAGTTCGCGAACTCGCCACCGTGTGCTTGCCGTGGCAGTAGTAGACATAACCCTCAGTGTGGTTTGATGGCGTTGGCATACCAAGTTCACTATTTTGAAGTGCTGAAAATGCTGCGAGAAAATGTTAGACGGAAACGACCTGAACTTTATGCCAACAATTGATGGATCTTGCATTACGACAATGCACCTGCTCACATGGCACTGTCTGTGAGGAATTTTTTACCTAGTAAACTGTTCTAGAACACCCTCCCTATTCACCGGATCTAGCCCCCAGTGACTTTTTACTGTTCCCAAAGATAAAGGAATATTGAAAGGAGGCATTTGGTGACATTGATGACACCAGGAATAATAGGCCATTCCACAAAATCAATTCCAAAATTGTTTTGAAAGGTAGACTAGGCGCTGGCATCGGTGCATAGCCTCCCAAGTGGAGTAATTTCAAGGCGACCACATTGATATTCAGCAGTAAGGTATGTAGCACTTTTACCGCGATGAGTTCGCGAATTTTATTCTCAGACCATGTATGTACGTGGTAAGGTTCACTATCGATAAACATAGTTCTATAGTTCTACATTTTCGTCTCTCTCCAAACAAATGCCTAGATGCGTCATCTCCCTTGAACTACTTACTCACCATTCATGAATATTCCCCCGTGTTATTCTACGCAAACAACCTACATAGCGAAAAAAATCCACTAAATATTCAAGATGCCATCTACCCAACCGCTCCCAACAATAAGGCCCTTTCAGCAGCCGTGATATAGTGTCCTACAGTCAGCAGAATTTTATACGTTCTAACGACCAGACCTCGAATAATGAAAGCTCGCGCATTCATTGGACACCGACTGTCCTGACTGGCTTAATGCCTACAAATTCCCACCACGAACAGCTTTCTCGAGGTGCCTTCCCAAATACAAACCTACGGACTTTCTTATATAAGGCCCGTCACTCAGTGCTACTTAACCTCATCAGTCCTTCGCCATGAAGCCACCCAAAAGCCAAATCAAAGACACCCATTACAATTTTGCTGTTAGATAAGTTAATTTGAGTTACTGAATGTCTCACCGGCGTTCTTTGCGGTGTATCCTTTTCAGAATGGTTTAATTACCGGCTAGAGTAACACAAGCATCTAATTATTAGCAAGGACTCGGCGGCGTCCCGTGCGCCAAGCGGTGGAATTCTCACTCTGAGATGACGCTATACGAGCACCATAAAGAAAAACAAGTGCTCGAAGCGACAGGTGTCTCGCCGGTCACGTCGTGTGAGACGTGATGGTGACATCAAGTTCGTGTGACAGCGCAAAACAGTTAGGGCCATGACACACGGAGCGGTTTTCGCTGACTCGGCGGCCGATTCGGCGCGTAGTTCTGTTGCAACAGATGGGATAAAACAGAGAAGGCTGTGTTCGCCGACAGGCGGCAAATTTGCCGATTCGGCCTGTCGTCTGCAGGCGGTGCAGCGAGCGGTTTCCATAGATTGAATACATTCTCAGCAATTTCTTACAAGGCGATGAATCAATGGTAAGTATTCCTGTATTAGATCTCATATAAATTAAGATATGTATATGTAATGGAATGGAGTTCTTTATTATTAAATATTTAACATTGTTTACATACAATACGAAAAGCATACAAACATTTACTGACAGTTTTCTATTTCATTCCACTTTTTCCTGACAGAATGCTGGAGAGTCGGATTGAGGTCCATGCCCGACCAGGAACAGTTCGTCGAAAGATTCGCTCGACATACGAACGAAATTATAATATTTATCTTCATCTTGTCGTGCTTGATTATATAAAGTGTAAAATAGACCTTTTGAAGTCCTATCTCTCATAATTGGGTGAATCCATATTCTCCGATGTTTCCTTCTGTGCCTTCTTTGTAAGTAAATCAGTGACAGAAGTATTATACGACCCTTGTGAAGATCCACCTGTGCAATGCTACCTCCCACACCGTATGTCGCACTCAGCATTCGAATAGACGTGCAGCATCGTGTATTTTGTCATAAGGCTGCGTCCGAGTCACCGCCCTTACAGCAACTCCTGGGTTCGCCAGTAGTGTGTACAGCATTACTTACAAAGGAATAGTTACATGGAGCAGGGCTGCATTTATTATGCCTCAAGTTGACCCGTTCTGCCCATATTTTTCACGTTCTGCTTATTTGCCGATTACATGAGCAATGAGGGATTTAGCGCAATCTGTCAAAATGGATCGCAACTACACTTTAAGTACGCCTTGGTGCACTCGATTGGTTTGGTGTAGTGCTGGACCCAAGAGCGGACATCGCTGGTATCGCTTAATAAAGTGTTGTCATGTTATGTTATGTTACAGTAGAGAAATGTCTGATGTTCAGCGAAGATGTCATTCTGTCGGTCAGTTCAGTTGATGCTGATACCCCTGAAGAAAAAGACAAATCGCGAGGAACCTTACAGGGTACAATATGGAGCCCCGCTTCCTCACTCGGGGGAACAGGCAATGCTCTTCTGTTGGAACTGTTCAGAGTCCGCAGCCTCTACTACGTAGATGTGAGGTCCCGCACTGTACAACACGCCATGGCGCTCCTAGGTCGTAGCTAAACAGTCAGAAGGAAATACAAGGGTACCTCGCCCGCAGTAGTGTCTACACAGACCAGACAAAGCAAAGATTTGGTTATGAAGGGACAGACAGGACAGCTTGTCATTCTGTGTAACTGTACTGACTTTTGTTAATTGAGCAGGAGCAGTTTTATATAGCGGCAAAGATACTATTTGCTGACCACCTAAACAGGTGGATTGCAGGGTACAACCCAGCTCGGGAGATGGAGGTGTTTCCGCATGTTGCTGTGTCATGTGGGGATAGCAGAAACCTTACACTGCACCATTATTAGCCAAGAAATTCTGCTTCTTCTCTTTAACGTGGCCAACAATACTTCTGTGACAGAGGAGGCCAAGGCTCAAATCAGAAAGAGATTAGCGTAAACAGAGAGAAAGTGATGATTGTGACAAGACTGAGGAGAATAACAAGGCGATGCACTTATACAGGAGGAGCAGAAGAACGAAATATCTAAGATATTTCAGTATTTATATTACTTTTGCAGCCAATATGAAGGAGGGACTATTTACAATTTTGAGCATGAATGAAGTACAAATTTTTGCAATGGCTCTTCCAGCCCATTCAGGGTATTGGCCTCTTTTTCAGTTTCGTAATCATTTTTCACAGTCGGTACGACTTCTTGGACGAGTAATCAGCCCACCGCAAGATACAGGACAACACAAACACAGAATAAACGTATACACACACTAAATATTCATGCCTTGAGTGGGATTCGAATCCACGACACCAGCACCCGAGCGAGCGAAGACCGCGCGGCTACTGTGACTGGCTGAATAAAGTACAGTATAGTAAGTAAAAAAGAACGCGATTAGGTAATAAAAGTCATGGAATGAGCTGACATGAATGCACCCTTCGCACAAATTGGATGTCAGTCAACACATACAGGAGACGTAGTGTCCGTCAGTCTTCCCTAATGTTTTCATCTTCGAGATCGAATAACGAAATTAGGTATCTGAGGGAGGGCGGACCTCAGGTTAAGAGTCGTCATGCGATAATATTGGTTTCAGTTTGTATTGTCCTAATATAACCCCTGTGCCACATTAAGTTAAAATCGGACACTCTGCAATGCGTCACATGCTTGCTTGGAGTCATGCTAATTTGATATTCTTCCTCTGGAAACAAGCAGACAAAGCAATGCAAGTAGACAAGTTCAGTCTACCAAATTGGTTTTCCAGGTTCATAAAATTAATTAACGTTGTAATTGCTTATTTGTGAACCGCTAATTGCGAAATACGTAATTAATGGCATTAAATTGTTTTCAATTATCACCAGTAGTCACGCCTTGCTGCAGGTCGCCATATCTGCAGCCATACAATCTGTGTGAAATAGCCGAGTGACGCAGAATATACAGGTGGATGAGTAAATCAGTGGTTGGTGAGTCCGTGAATGAGTGGTGAGTTGATGAGTGGGTAGTTAAATACTCATTTGGCTCTATTTGCACAGCAGAATACATAAAGTGAAACTGCAAGATAAAATAAACCCAAATTAGAAAAGAAACCACATGAAAGTATGGAAATAAAGACCTTCAATTGCATTCAAAAATGCAATTGCCTTCAGAGACCAAGAAAGACCACGGTAACCTCGATCCCCAGACGGATACTCGACCTTAGAACCTCCTGAACATAAGTGCTAAGCAGAAGCGATACGTTAACCACCACATTATCCTGGGGATCACAGTTCT